CCACAACCCCCCCCCCCAGGCAGTTTTACACTTACCCTCTCCCTTTGTGTTTGATGTTTGCTCGTCCCATTTTATTCGATGAAGCATAAGACGTTTGAATTTCTTCTGTGCTTTGGGTCCTGGGGAAGAACCGAGACTCAACGTTCAGAAAAAAGTCCTTTAACCTTCGGTTTTTAGAAGGTTCTAAAAAGCAGCTGAAGACAAACACCACCCAGAAACACTTCCCAGCAGACCAGGCACAGCAAGGCCGATCCAGCTCGAATATCCCTGGGGTGGCTCAGCCTTCCCCACATCCTTCGGCAAGGTACTCAGCTCTCGGCCACCTCGGGATTTCCTGCTGCCAAACAGGCTCTTCAACACCTCACAAAAATTACTTATAACAGCACAAAGCGTGAGGAACCGTGCCAGACTGAGAGCTGAGGCTCTCCTCGCCCTAAGCATCCGCTCAGAGCATCAAGGATTCAAACTGAGTGCTTTTCCCTTCCACAGCAAATGCGCTGGGTTTTCTAACTGGATTACAGTGCACTCTGCAGTCAGCACTAACCCCATTAGAGCCGTAATTAAGGGAATTTCAAACAGCCTCATTCTTTCCTTGCCCTTCCCCAACCCTCAGTCAACTGTTTTCACAGTAATTTTTGGTAGAGGCAAGGTTTTGAATGCTACGCTGTGACCAAAAGCCTGCCTTGGAAGTCCTCACCTCCTTCTACGACAACCACGTTGACATCTTTGTGTAAAACCACCACGCCTGTTAAGTACAGCTGGCCAGCGTTCGCCTCGATTTTGAATTTTTTTGCTGGATTGCTCGACCCTTAAAAAAAAAAAAAAAAAAAATACAAACACAAATGTTTGCGGAAAACCAGAAATATTATCACCAGACATAGGAGCTCCCTACTCTGGGGCCAGCGTTTCCTCCTCCAGCCCCTCAGGGGCTTTACCCACACCTCAAAGACACACGTTTGTCTGGGCTGCTCAGAGAGTCAGTGTCTGTCCCATTCTCATCTGATTTAGCTCTTTGGAAGTTTTCCTGATTTCTGGACATCAATGTACCAGGTTAGCTCTGACAGCTGGGAAATGACTCTCCCCAATGGAAACTTCAATCCCAGCTCAAACACTCCAACCTTGCCCCATGTTGTTAGTGCTCAGCTGTAACAGGATGAGTTCAGGGATGTGGGTTTTGGGACAGTGTTAATTGCTACAGGCTGGGATTCTTTAATGCTTGATGGAAACCTGAGGAGCGGGTGCACAGTCTTGCTACTTAAGGCTGCTCCTCTCTATCAGCACGTTCCTACAGGGACTCTCTCAGGTGTATTTAGCAAGAGACCTACAGCGAACCCCCACAAGGATCAGCCAGCCCAGCACTGACCTGTACACAGCTATGTGAACTCCCTGCGAAACGTCTTCTTTCAGCTTTTTAACCTTCTTGGCTTTTCGCTGTTCTGCCGTGAGCTTTCTCGCAGCGTTTGCTTCTTCGTGAGCTCTGGACGCAGAGAGAGACACAGCAATAAGCAAAACGCAGCCTGTGGCGTTACCTGTTAGGGCATCGAAACGGCTCCTTCTCTTCCTAAGCTCAGATTATGTTCCGCAGATCCCAAAGCAGCTGCAACTCCCGCCCAGATTTCTGCCTGCACCTGCCTGAACTAAAAAAGCACGTGGGCTTTTTTTAATCCAGTCACCAGTCCAATTCATCCTCAGTCTCTTCCCTGAAAGCACTAATTAGTAACAACTGCAATGACGATCATCATCATGCTAAGAAACTCTAATACAGGGCACGAGGCCGCTCTCCAGTGGCAAGAAATCACCTCAAGACCCCACTCCCCCCCACAGGCCTTGAGGGGGGTCATTCAAGGCAGCTGAAATAGGCTACGAGACCAACACGCAGAAAATCACACTGCTTCTGCTTCACTGCATCAGCTCAAGGATCCTGTTGTGTACAAACGCAGCCCCAGCGCTAAATCCACCTAAAAATTACAGAAGAAAAAAAAACAAAGAACAGGTACAACGTGGCACCTACTTCTGTCTCTTCGCCATCTGCGCTCTAACGTGAGCTTCGACTTTTGTGGGGTCCTGCACAGCTTCTGTCCCCAGTACTCGCATCAAGTTTGAAATTCTTACTGCAAGGGAACGGGAGAGGAGACATGAGAGGCTCCTGCTGGACACCGGTTTGCCGTGAACGGTAAAGCACGGGAACACCAGGCTGGCTCACGGGCTCGTAAACCAACTGTACGGGAAGGTACCGGATCCCACCGACACACAGATCCTTCCCAACCACGTCCACGCGTGGCCCGGGCCATTGGTGTGATGGCTACAAGCCCACGTTAGCCCAGAGCTCTGGTGGCAGCTGCCCACCCTGTAGCTGTCACTTACCTTTGGGCTCTGGCGGTGGCATCAGGCCCAGCCTGACTTTCTCCTGCAGTTCCTTCTGGGCTTCTCTCCGAGTCTGTCGCCGTAATTTCTTCTGCTCTTTCTTAGTTAAATAAACACCCAGGGTCACTGGTGTGTCGCTGTCCACTGGGAAGAGAAACAAGGCAAAATAAACATAAATCTGCTTTTGAAAAAGAGAAAATACCACCTGCAACCGTTACACCACACTGTTAGAGCCACGCTCGATCGACAAACCCGACCTCTGGCGGCGCTGCAGGCACCAAACACGGAACCAGGAAAACACGTTTTGGCTATATTTTGATTTTACTGAAAAGCAGAAATACTCCGTGGTTATTTTAACGGCCTTTCTTCAGGGCAAGAAAGTCAAAACCAACCTGCCAGAGGTAAGGAGCTCGTGTCTGCACCACCACCCCGGCAAGCACCGAGCAGGCTGTCGGCAGGTAAGCACTATGTATTTTATATCCAGTTCCCCCCAAAAAAAAACAAACAGGGAGGGACTCTCCCTCCCAATTTCAGCTACTTTTGCAGAGCTTTCACCTTAATCTTCACACAATTACTTCTCTCAGAGACAAGAGACGCTGGGCTGCAGTGCTACAGGTGGAGGTTTGCATGCTGGTTCACCCCACCAAGCAACAGCCGCTCAGGAGTTATTTTGTCTCGAGTTTAAACAGCAAAGTTGACCAAAACCGGGGCAGTACCTGGTGGGTTGAGCTGCGCCGGGTGCTCCACGAGGTTTGTGATCCCAAAGTACTCGTCTCTCTTTGAAGACGTTCCACCTTTTCTAGAAAGGAGAGAGTTGGGCGTCATTGCAAACCTCCCAGCCCGAATTCCTGCTTTCCCTTAAACACAAGCCACGGAAAAAAATTAAATATATAAACACACTTCCCTTGGGCCAGCCATGGTGGGTGTGTGACACACACAAAGCCCGACCCAAAGCACAGATCAGAGCTTGATGTGCTGGAGGAGACACGCAGCGATGCAGTATTAACGCGTAGGTGTCTCCTCCAGTGGAATATCCACCCACAGTCCACGGTTAGGAGGAAGGTTTCCCACAACTCCACCATCAACCAGACTGGTACACACCACTCAGGCTTGAAAAAAAACCAAACACCCAACACCCCAACTTTGGGCTGAAAAAAATCCCACTGACTTCACAGCAGCCGTTTTCTCAGTCGGGGGAACACTGCCTCCAACGAGAAAGGGAGCTGCCCACCACCAGCTCCAAGAGAGACTTTGGGAGCAAACCTAGTGCCCCCCTGGATGTGGGAGATGAGGGAGGTGGAATTTGATTTACCCAAGTGCTCAGCGGGAGCTCCCCGTGTTTCCTGCTGCAGCACAACGATCAAAACCAGGCAAGTGAATGACTTACAAGTCAAGGCCGTTGGGGATGATGTAGGAGTCCCACCACTCTATCTCTGGGATCTCCCCCTCCTTCAGCTCCTTCTTTGGGGTAATCAGAGCCAATTTGGTGGAAGTGTGTATCCCTGTCTTCCTGGCGGCCTGCGAGATCTCTGCCTGCAGTTTTTCTAGTTGAGCCTGAGAACGGGGAGAAGAAAAATGGCACAGAAAGGTCATTCCAAAATAGCACAACCTTCAGGAAAAGCACAACACGTATGCACCTGCTGATTTATTGATGGGGTTTTGTTTTAAACAATCAGAAGCAGACCACAGAAGAAACCACACCGCATGTGACAGCGGAGTGCTTTTGCTGAAGCTGACAATTTTGCCAAAAATTTGGTCTTATTACTGAGAACATCTCCCTTGGCATCCTACCCCTGGAATTTTCTGTCTAACAAAGCTCTTCTCTCCCCTTTTCCCCAGGAACTCAGGCATTTCACTAAGACGCTTTTAAATCTCCACCTCTAGGGTGATCATTTCTGCGGAAAGAACGCTTGGCCAAAAAAAAAACCCAAACCCAAACAACTATTCTCTTTGGAAATTTTCAAACTTTTGTCAAAAAAAAAAAAAATTTTGGTCTTTTCATCAAGTGAAGACAGCTGTAAGAAAACACTTTCCACACACGTTCTAATTCGGACGCCTGCCTTTCCACCAAGAACAGCGTTGACAGAAAAGTTTCAGGTGACTTTACTGAAAAAGCTTCTTCCTCAAAGCCAACACGGCATCCCTTCACATCCCAGGAGAGGAGAATCAACTCCCATCCCGAACCGAACCCTCACTTCTGTGCTGTCAGTTAGCATGGCAAGACCTCAAATACCTTCGTTCGCAACCTCTGGGCAATTTTCTCAAATTTGCCTTTTTCATGGAACTTAAAGGTGCGTTTCTGACGCTGGGCTGGGGTTATGGAGACCCGGGGGTCAAAGTAAGTGTTCGACTCCATATCTTCCGAGGGCTTTTCTTTAAGCTGCTGTTTGAACTGCTCCCTCTTCACAGCTCTGATGTTTGCTTTTAGGGTTGGCATGCGGTGAGTCAACTCAATCTCTTTACCAGTCGCATCAACAGTTCGGCCTTGCTCATCCAAGATCAGTGGCGTAGGCTTTGTCTGATCCTTCAGCTCCACTTTCCTGGTGGCAAGACAAGAAATGCTGCGTTAAAATAGGAGCACAGCATTAACTGACACGCTGGAGAAGGGAGACGTGCCAGCCTCGCAGAGATCAACAAGGCCAAGGGCACGGTCCTGCCCACGGGTCGGGGCAATCCCCAGCACAAACCCGGGCTGGGCCAGGAGGGGCTGGAGAGCAGCCCCCAGGAGAAGGACTTGGGGGGGCCGGGGGGTGAAAAACTGCCTGTGAGCCACCAACGGGCGCTGGCAGCCCAGAAAGGCCCCGTGTGCGGGGCTGCACCCAGAGCAGGGTGGGCACAGGGCCGGGGGGGGATTCTCCCCCTCTGCTCCGCTCTGGGAGACCCCCCTGCAGGGCTGGGTCCAGCTCTGGGGCACCAACAGCAGAAGGACACGGACCTGCTCCAGCGGGGCCAGAGGAGGCCACGGAGATGCTGGGGGGGCTGGAGCCCCCCTGTGAGGACAGGCTGGGAGAGTTGGGGGGTTCAGCTGGAGGAGAGAAGGCTCCGGGGAGACCTTAGAGCGGCCCCCCAGGGCTAAAAGGGGCTGCGGGAAAGGGGGGGAGTTCGGATCAGGGAGGAGGGATAGGACAAGAGGGAAGGGGTTTAACCTGAGAGAGGGGAGATTGAGGTGAGATCTAAGGCAGAAATTCTCCCCTGGGCGTGGGGTGAAGCCCTGGCACAGGCTGCCCAGAGAAGCTGGGGCTGCCCCCTCCCTGGAAGGGTTCAAGGCCGCGTTGGACAGGGCTTTGGGCAACCTGGGCTGGGGGAAGGTGGCCCTGCCCGGGACAAGGAGGTGGCACTGGGTGGGCTGTAAGGTCCCTCCCAACCCAAACCAGTCTGCAGTTCTAACTCAAAGGGAACACGAGCCTTCTTCCCACAGTAAGCACCAAACCAGCCCACGATTTGTAAAAGGCCTCCTCATACATTTAAGTCTCATCTGTGCTGCCAGAAAGGACTCAAATCCCACGTGCAGAAAATGGGAGAGTCTCACCCAAGGAAGGAATATCCTCTATTTCACCATTTTATAATAAAATTCATTCCTTCAGCAGCCGTTAAGACCAGCGCTAGGGAACCAGCAGTGCTGGAGAAGCCTCTGCTCAGCCCCTCCGTGGGCATTACACCCATGAGGATCAGCTGCCCAGCGGCAGGTACTCACGGCGGCGCGATGCCCATGGCGTGCAGGTTGGCCAGCCCCACCATGTTGGCGTTTCCGATGAGCCCCGGTTTTAAGGCCAGTTGAGCCTGGATTCGGGCCTGCAGCTCTGCAGCTTTCCTGGCCTTCTCAATGGCATCGTTCATGAACGTCGCTGCCTGGGAGGGCTGGATCGTGTTGCCGATGGGGAGACGCTCCGATTGGGATGAGGAAGAAATTTTGGGCTGTTGAAAAAGGAGGAAGGGTTGTTACGTGCCTGTTTCATCACACTGAAGTCAACATGTCACAGCAGAAAACGGGGAGCACGGGATCTGGCTGTTGCCTCTGGTAGGTACCTGTGGTGTTGGAGGACTGATGAAACTCAGCTGCTTTTTCCTCTCTTCAATCTGCCGGGTGGCTGCTTCCATCATCAAAAAAAAAAAAAAAAAAAAAAAAAAAAATCAAACAATGAATTTTCCTTCCTTCTGTCAGGGGAGACGGGGTCCTCAGCACCCTTTTACAGCTGTGAACACACGCAACCCAGCTTAGTGAGAACAGAATGGTATCAGACTGCTCCGATTAACAACCTCCAGCTGTAGAGTAGGAATCTGACACCGCAGGCACTCTCTACCAAGACCAAGAGAACATCCAAACTTTCCTCAACTGAAGGCTCATCATGAGCCTAAGGCGAGGGGAGCAGTGGCAGCGATTGTGGCAAATGAAGAACAGTCAAAGGCAACTTGCCGTTGGCTTGCTCAGCTCGTGGTATGAATTCAGGTAAACACTAAACCATGCTAGGATTCAAGATCTTGGGCACGGGCAGCTCCGTTCTGGGGCAGAGCTCACGTCACAGCCTAGTTAAACTGACCTGGAGCTTGGTGAGCATCCCAGGGCTCTCTGAGGGCGGGCCCGGAATGACCTCGGGTTCATCCTCAACCTCCTCAAATCGTGGTATGCGCCGCTTCTTGACGCCAGAAGATTCCTTGGATACCTCAGAGTCATCACCAAACACGTCCTAACATAAAAGAGAAGGAGAAAACTGCGGTTAAAAACAAAGAGTTCTCCTCGGGGCCAGCGTTTTGAGATAAGAAACCACCACTTGGCTCAGATCCTCACTCCGCTGTGCTGTGGAGTTTGCAGGGCAGCGCTCGCAGGCTGACCTAGGAAGCCTGCGCCCTGCTCCCCCACCAAAGCATCACTGATGATCCATCCAAGAGCGTGAAAGACAGGAGATACCACAGGGACGCGCCTGTGTAAAAGCCACTGTCATTTAAACTGCAACAGGGGAGGTTTGGACTGAACGCGAGGAAAAAAATTGTCACAGAGAACGGTCAGAGAGCGGAGCGGGGGGGGAGTCCCCATCCCTGGGGGGGTTTCAGGGCCATTGGGATGAGCTGTGGGGGGATGTGGGGTAGGGGAGAACTTTGTAGAGTCGGGCTGAGGGTTGGACTCGCTGATCCCGAGGGGCTTTTCCAGCCTGAATGATTCTGTGATTGTTCTCTCAGGCAGTCAAAGGTTTTTGTGGCACCGAGATTTAAGGTCTCACTCAACTACCCAGAGAGATGGAAAAAGCTCCCCCCCGAGCTGACCTGCCTCGGGGTAAAATGGTTTCCACGTCTTCCGCCAAGTTCAGAGGGTGAAGGAAGCTGTGCTGGCTGACCACGGCCTCCCCAAAAGGACCCAGGGCGGGTGGGGACACCCACAGCATTCCCTCAGGCTCCCACCCAGCTGACTCCAGCTCGGATCCAAAGACGCTGAGCTCCAAACCGAGTGGCTCCGGAGAACCGCAGCTCGGCAACGACCATGCCGACGGGACCGGGGCGCAGCACGAGGGCCATCGAACCAAAGGATGTTCAAGCTCTGTTCTACACAGAGCTCTGCTCAAGCAGGGCCCAGCTCCGTGAGACTACGGCCACGGACTTCGTCAAGTCAATGCCTGGTTTGTGTGTGGTAAACCAGATGCGTCCGTGCAACCGTGTTACTGTAGTGTGCGTGTCAAGGTGTTATTTGAAAAGAAAATATACACACCGGTTGTAAGCGTTAGTTGCAATCCCTTCTTCACTATAACGGTTCATATTCTACAAGGACACTTCCTCATCCAGACACAGGTACTTCTTGGAAAACCTACAAGTTCAAGAGAAAGGACTTGCCCATAGTATAAAGTGTGTAAACCATTACGTTTTAGTTCCTGAAACTTCCCAAGCAACGACCTACCCCACAAGAGTTAACCAAGGAGAGAGAAGGCAGGCCAGGCAGCGTGCTGAAGACAGCTAACACGACCAGTGAGCAGCATTCTGAATTAATCCACTGCTTCTTGCTACAAGATCTAAGCGTGCGAGTACAAATTTAACTCTAAAAACCTGCACTGGGGTGTGTGTGTGTGGTGGGGCAAGTCAGTCTGCAAGTATGACCACGATCTGACAACCTGCCTAGAGCAGCTTGTGTTACAACAGGGTTAGGACAGATCTAGACCCTGCTGGAGGAGCTCCAAGAAAGATAATTCTGGAGAGAGGGGTTGATGATTTGGCAGGCGGGACGCCTGTCCCCACGCCAGGAGCCAAGAGGCTAGATCTGCTCTGCCACTTCCCAGCTCCTCTTGGGTTAGTGGGGAAGCAGAGGACACCGGCAGCCACCTGCAGTCGTGCGAGACGCCCCAGCGAACGCTTTGCTGGAGAAGGATCATCTAGTGCGCAGCCAGCCCTGGCCCTGCTCCGCTCTGCCAGCACGAGATCCCCTCTGCCACAGGCTCCCTCCCCTCCTGCTGTCCTGCAGCGCACCGGCCACGGCCACGAGGAAGAGGAGAGGCCAAGCCACGAGGAAAACGGGCACGATCCAAGTTCAACCAAATCAAAGTTAACTTTTTGTGAAGAAAAGCAGAATCCAGGCGCTTCAGCTGTGCCATGGGGCCCGCAAGAATCACCGTGCCAGGCTGCAGCCTGCAACCCCGCCACCACGAAGCGCCAAGCAGCGAGGGGATGGACGACGTCCCCAGCTCTCCGCCACGTCCCCAAGAGGTTCAAAAGCAAGAGGGGAGCAGCTGGGATCCACAGCCTGGCCAAAACCTCGCTTCTGAATGGCAGCTGTGCCAGCCCAACACCCAAATTAAAGTGGAAAAAAAATATATACTTGAAAGGTGCTTATTGGCACCAAGAGAGCTGCGGAAGACTGAGGTCATTTTAAGCTACTGCCGCTCTCAGGGAGCTGAGACACATCAACCCAAACCTCTCCAGATCAGTAAAGCAGGCTGCACTGCTGCTCCTCGGGCTGTACCAGCTCTGAGGGACAGAAGCTGCTTTACCACTTCGTTAACGGGCGACCCGGACCCGGAGGAGACTTTTTCTGGCAGTGGTTAAAGCCTCAGGCAGACAGTGGGAGAAAAAGCAACTTTCTAATAGAAAACAGAGAGTGGAGGCAGCTGTCTCCCAACACACCTGAAGAGATCCAAATCCTGAACAGGCTTGTTCTAGTTAACCGAGATTAAGTGATGATTAAAAATAGAGAAACACAGATTGCCATAAAATAAGAACCTCAGAAAAACCGAAAGGAAACTTACTTTGCAAGCAGGGAACAGGATGGAGAGTAGCCCCTTTTAAACTCGGAATGCGAGTGATGGAAAAAATGCAATTCCAGAAGATGGCGAGTGAAGTCTTCAAGAGAAGAAAGGAGGTGAAAACAGGTTTGGATGCGTGAGGCTTCCACCATCCCAGACAAGCATTAGATGGGAGAAACACCAGAGAGCTATTAAATCCCTCCTGCTGTCATTAACCTTCTGCTACGACAGGGGTTGTCACAAAAAAAAAAATTAAAAAAAAAAAAATCACCCTCTGTTGATTCCGGATGGGAGAGGAGAATGAAAACCCATCAGATCACCCACCAGATAGTCCCACTCGCTGGCTGACAGGGAAAACCAGCTGGCAGAGTGAAACGTGGCAAATCCAGGCAAGGAAGAACCACAGGACGTTGCTGGGAGCACCTACCCCAGGCTCCCAGTGCAAACCCAGCCCTGCCACAGCTGGTTAAAAGGACGAAAGGAAATCAAGAGACAGAGCCCTGTGGAGTTAACTCAGCTGCACAAGCCTAGCAGAGATCGTTAAAAGAAATCAAAAGCCCAAGTTTCCAACAAAGAGAGCACGGTGCTACCTCATCCAAAGGTAAAGAGAACCGAAAGGTAAAGGCTCACACACTTCATCATGGAGAAGGGTCTTTTCTCTTGAACTTTAAGCATTATGAGATGTACCTCTCTGGAAGAGGAAAGTGTGGCAGAGTAATCAGTGCTGCCTCCACGGCCACCAAACCACAAGGAAAAAAAAAAAAAGAGCAATCAATAAATCAATAATCACCTTCAGCTCTCGCTTCCGGTTCCGGTCACTGTTGGATTTGGAGTGCCTGGAGCTTCGGCCTTCCTCCACCGCCTCGAAGAGTTTGTCCACAAACCGCAGGGTGGAATCGTCAAGAAAAGGTTTGAGGTGGTCTGGAAAATTCAGAATTCATTGTTTAGGATGAGGAGGAGAACAGAGAGAATTCGCAGGAGACTTAAAAAAAAAAAAAAAAAAAGACTTAAAGGTGGATTCAACCCCACTAACGCAGCGGGGGCTGCGGCCTGGGCTCTGCGGATCCTGTTGTCAGCTTTAAATTCTGAAGGATTAAGAGAGTCCAGGCCTCGACTAGAAAATAAAAATTAGGGCTCTAACGGTTGAAAGAAACAAAGCCATGGGTTAAATTATGGTTTTCAATTCCTTTAGAAAAAGAGGCCTTCGATTAATTTTTATTTCCTCCGTTTCTGTGATGCATTCCAAGGCTTTTGGTCGTGTCTCACCTGTCTGTGTGGGTTTGCAGGTACTCACCTCTGCCTCATCGAGGCTCAGTCAGCATCACCCCTGGGGGTACACCTGCACGTACACGCGGGAGCTACCAGGTTTGGGAGGGGGTTTCTTTAGAAAACTAGCTCAACGCAAACCAGATCTCACACCTGCAAGGACTGCATCCGCCCCTCAGGCACTGCCAGTCACCACTGTCAACGAAACCACGAGGCGCCACGCAGCTCATGGCCACCAGCAGGACACCCAGGCTTCCGAGATTACAGGGAATCAGTTTAAATGTGATTTGAGGTTATTACCAGGCTCTTGGAGGAGTTTTGCAGCCCTATTTTTTCCCCAGCAAGGGGTCTGACCGCCTTTGCAAACAGCTGCAGGGTCAGGGCTAGAGCCCACGGGACGTACCGGCCGCTTTCTTTTTGTCCATCCCCTTCCCGACGCAGTTGAGCGCTGCCGTCACCACGGTGGGCTCCGAGAAGCCCAGGACTCGCTTCACCGTCTTCTCGATCCATGGTTTCAGCTCATCCAATTCCCTTTTGGAGAGCGACATCTTAGCCAGGAGCCGAAGTGAATTATTTTCCCTGTACCTGTAAAAAAAAAAAAAAAAAAAAAAAAAAAAAAAAAAAAAAAAAAAAAAGAGATGAGAAAACCGCAGTAAAATAAAGCATCAGATAATCGTTGCTTCGTTTTTCTCCTTCGTGAAAAACCTCACAAGTGGTGAAAGCTCTCGGAGATGAATTTTGCTGCCGTATTTTTAAAACACGAGCTAAAAATTAGACGAGGTACCTGGGGAGGGAAGGGCCCCAGCAGCGAGAAGCCCGTGACCTGAGCGGACAAGCTGCAGCATCAGGCCCTGCGAAGGGGAGCCCTGAAATTCCTACAGCCACCAGCCTTCCCCCCCGGGATGACGGAAGGGCAAAGGGGGAGCACCGCACTGGCCCTGGATCAGGCCGCGCTTTCACGCAGGGATCGACCACAAACAGGACAAAAATGTTTAGTCTCGGGGCATCCCTTCAGGCCTCTCGGGGCATCCCTCTGTTCTTTTCGTGGCTGCCAGGCCACGGGCCTCAAGACCCACAAGTCTGCGCTCAACGTTTTCCAAAGAGCGACCACAAACCTGCCTCGCGCAACGCGACCTAAAAACCCTTCAAACAGGAAAAAAAAAAACAAAACCCACATGCACCTGCTCACCCTTAACTAGCCTCTAACCCGTGAGCTTCACCGACCACTCCAAACACATTCCACTTCACTGATACTAAAAACCTCAGCACGTGCCCGGCTGCCTCCACGCTTGCTGCTTAAACCAGCGGCCGACGTTGGCGAACCCGAAATTACAGATTTTTTTTTTTTTTTTCCCCCAGGCAAAAATTTCTTGCCGTGAAATTTTTAGCAGATCTCACACTGTCAGGCCCAGTCTGCAGATGCAATAACGTTTAACTACGCGCCCAGGCCCTAATCTGATTTGGAAACCAAGTCTCCTTTATCTGGAAAGAGGAGAAAATCTTCTTAAGGAAATATGTTTGACCTCGGCATTTCTTCTCTGCATAAAAAGGCCTCCAGAGCCTTGATGTTAACGTGGGTCTATTTTAACAGAAATCCGATCAAATACGGTTATCACTCCTGAAACCAAGAATTAAGAGCCTGGACATTAGTTTTAAGGAAACATTTCTCAATTTAGGGGCTGCAAACAGCAGCCAAAAGACATCAATCTACAGATTTTGGCTGCTCACGCTCCCTCTGGAGAGCACGTCCCTCTCTGCAACCAAAAACCTGAAAAATCTCCACGGCCACTTACTTTTTACAGCAGGTTTCTCAGAGATGTGATCAAATACAGCATCAAGTACAGCCCAAAAGAACATTATTACAAAGTTTAACCAGTAAATTCTGACTTTTTAGGACATAACGCTTCAGGACAAAGCCAGAAGTTCAAGACAAGCAGAAATAATTAATTACCACACTGACACATCAATAGCTTTGTGCACATACGCTCTTAAAAACAAAATTTATACAGTTAGGGCTTGTTTTAAGCTCTATATTAATTTTCAATTTATGTAATCTAATAATGAGCGGCAGAGGAGTGCAACAGGTTTAACGGCATTTCACTTGGAATATTGGGGCAGCAAACCTGCCCCCTGAGCACCCTCAGGCCACGGGGACTCGTGGGGTGGCAACGGGGAACCCGGTGGGGAAAGAAAACCTATAGCAGATTTTTTTTTTAATATATAAATATATATATATATATATATAGGCACTAACCGTCTTCACAATGTCACTTCTCAGAACGGTGAGAACCTGAAGGCGATGCTCCTGCAGCCCTGTCGGCCAGAGAAACTGCTTCCCTTAGGGATTTAAAAAAAAAAAAAAAAAAAAAAAAAAAG